TAAACACCACATGTCACTGAAAACACCACACTCTCCGAAACGCAGGATTCATATGCTGATGAGACACTCGCAAGCAAATAAATCAGCTCAGCGGTGGAAAAACAAGCCCTCGGCAGACTTACACACACTCGCTTTCTCAAGTTCACTTCAGTTAATTCTCAAAAAGAACATGCGCTAACAGTGGAACTACCAGAAATCTAGAACTGTTAGAATTACCTTAGCGTTCATTCTGACTGTCCTCATGTAACATGTCATATTGTCACCAGTGGTGGAAAGATTACTGAAAAATCATACTGAAGTAAAAGTACCATTACTTGTCTAAAAATGTAGTGCGAGTAAAAGTATCCATTGTAAGTATTACTCAAAGTATAAGTAAAAAGTAGATTTTTCTAAAATACTCAAGAGTAGTGAGTAGCAAGGGTGTACCGGTTCACAAAAATCACGGTTCCGTTCACTACGACACAGTGGTTTCACGGTTAGGTATGTTTTCGAGACAGCAAAAGAAAGAAAAAAGCCAGAGGCTTTAAATCATTTCTCTGATTTAAACATTTTAATGCATTAAAACTAACATCATAAAAGTATGATCCTGTTTTTTTTCTTTTACTTTAAACAGTGATAGAGCTACTTCTAGATACTTCTGAGTTTTTTGCTAAGCAGCAAATATAACAAATCCTTCTTTTTACTCAAAACCAAAAAGCTTGCTATAAAAAACAAATGTAATATTGTTGTAGTTAAACAAATAAAAAGAAAAGAACAGTTTAGTTTTTATATGGAACTCAATTTTTAATCTATTTTTAATTTTTAATTTATTTTTTTTCAGAGAGTGTCTTTTCTTTAGACAGCACAGATCTGCTTGATTTGATGGTCACCTGCCATTTTAGTGGATCTGAAAGCAGGAATTATCTGACTGAAATTGGCTTATGAAGGAATAATGTAACGGGGCTCTATTACATTTACATTTTTTTAAAACCCGAAATTTCCACTATCGATTAAGGTCTAACAGGGCTCGAAATTAACCTTTTTCTTGGTAGCACCGGTGCTCCTAACTTCAAAAATGTAGGCGCACCAAACAAAATTTAGTCGCACCCACCAAAAATGATGAGCACCGTTACTATACGTTTTATATTGACAGATTCTATTATATATTAACACTTTTTCACTGTCACAGTTGCAGGTTTGTGTGCTTTTCCGGAGTGTCTGTTTGATCACGTGAGTGTTTTTTCTTTTTTTTTGTTATCCACGTGTATTTGTTTTGGTCACGTGCCTTGACTCACTCAGCTGGTTTGATTAGCTCGCCAGCTGAGGCTCATTATCGTGCCTATATATGGGCAACGTTTTCTATGTTCCCTTGTCAGTTTGTTACGTGTGCTCAGGACCGTGAGGAGAGACCACTGGACCCTGTTCTCCTGTCTGATCCCTGCCCTGTTTTCTCCTCATCCTAGCACCACACTCTTTCCTTGTTTCCTTGTTTCCTTGTCAAATATATCATTTCACTTGCACTTGGATCCTTTCTGAACATTATTTGACAATCACAACTAACAAATAAACTAAACTCTGCATGCGCACACCGCCCTGCACGCTTGACGTGAATGAGATGAACTGAATTAACAATAACTGTACTGTTCTCACGGGTGGTGTCTGATATTGCACAGATGACATTATAACTTATTATTTGCATACGTCATATTAATAGTAATAATGGTGTTTTCATGAGCTGCAATATTAGTTTCGTCTCAGTGAATGCATGTTCTTTAGCGGTGGTGAACAAGGTATCAGTCGCACGATCGACAGCATTAGGATTAAATAACGTTAGAACATCTCCTGTGTAGATTCAGTGTCAAACACTGTCACCTGAAAACTCCATCCCACTTTCTTTACGGTGAATGCTTTAGTCATTTTCATAGCGGATTTTAAACACTGGAAGACTTTTATCCACTCTTCGAAAAGTGTATATGCTGGATTGACATTCAGCACATGATCACTGATCAGATGTGCCATTAGTTGTAACTCTTGCTGGTTTCTAAAACTAAATCTGTCAGTGTTGTTTTCATTCTTTTGGATCCAGCCCTTTACATTTTCACGGCTGTGGCGTCCTGTCATCGGAACTGAGCGATTGACAGCTGATATTAACCAATCCCTTTAAGTTCTGTTCTCGCACAGTGGGCCAATAAGAAGAGCTTGAAGGCGGGGCAAGCATTGCGTGCTTTTTTGTACGTATTCTCTTTTGTCTTTTTAGATATTAGTCTGAATCGTTCAGTTTGCGACACATACCGAACCGAAAGTCTCATACCGAACGGTTCAATGCGAATACGTGTATCATCACACCATTAGTGAGTAGTGATTATTACGCCAGGGCCGGAGTGGGACTCCTTTTCAGCCCTGGAGTTTCAAGCCTTACACCGGCCCACCTCAGTTCACGACTGATTATATTAAGATAACGTCATTTCCAATTCAGTTTTTAATGACACTATCACATCTTTTTCAAGGAAACAGCTGCTTTAGAACTTCAAATGTTTTTTTTTTTATAAATATGAGAACATTAAGAGGTAACACATAAACACTATTCTTTAAAACATCACAATGTCCTTTCCTGCAATATCTGAATATATATTCCGTGCAAAATCCTTTATAGCTATCCAGTCCTTTATAACGGTGGTCCCACAAAAAATAAAAATAAAATATGTACACCTATATAAGTAACCCAAACAGTATTATGTCTTAACACTAAGAATTATAAAAACTAAATTTATTTAGGTGAGGTTCGAACTCGCAACCTGCTGACCACTGGACCACAATGGTGCTATTATGCTGCTGCATTTGCAATAAAAAATAAGTATTGCGCTGTAACCTGCAAGACTCTTTTAACCACAGTATTACTTTCTACTGATAGCTTAAACTTTTTCTCACATTTTTAGTTTCTGATCAAGTTAAGTCAGATTTATTTCTGTAGTGTATCATTTCATTTTCATTGAGCAGGTGTAATATTCATTAATATTAATTATTAAAATTCTTGTATTCACTAAGGTTCCGCTGTCATCATTAACCTGCAGGCTGCATTTTGCTCACGGGGCTGCGAGAAAATAAATAAAAAGAGTGGAGCTGCGGCAAAATAACAAATAAAAAGAATGAGAATGAGACTTTCACATGTTGCATTAAAGTACTGCGACAGCGCTCCGGGATCAGATACTGATTCTGAAGAGCGACTGCACGAGTCTGAAGAGCGACTGCTGGAGCTATGATGATGACACCGATATTACACGATTGGCCGAGTTCACTGCATGACAACAACCACGTGTGTATCTGCTTTGTTATTGGACAAATTTTGATTTACAAATTTTAAAACAAACAATTACATTTTCATACCCTCTCTATCCTGTACACATCATGCTTATTTAAAGACTACAAATTTTGTTTAATTTTTTGTTAAATAATCTGGTTATAAAGACTAGATTGTTTGCACTGGTTTATTTTCGACCTTTTTATACAGACTATTTACTGCATTCAGCTCCATAAATGATTTAAATTATATTTTAGTGTATAACCTAAATATTAACTTAAATAAGTCTAATAGAATTGTAATAAAATAATTACCATCATTGATCTTGCCACCCTAAAGGTTTCTTAAAAAAATTAAGTTAAAGAACTATTTTATTAAATAATTAAATGATTTATATGATGATAAAATATATATTTCTTTTCTGTTAGGCGGTTTATGCACAAGTTTTAAAAATGACATTGATGTACCAGCTCTTCCTGGGAAACCTCTACTGAAAGTGTTGCTCACTTATTTTGGGAATGTCCTTTTGTTCAATCTTTTTGGATTGAAAATGCTGTCATTATGCAAA